GATCTACGTTCTTTATTTAAATGAAATGTTAAATTGGTATAATATCCCTTTATAAAACCGCATTTGATAGTATTTGCGGGCAATAACAGTAGTCCTAAACCGGTCCTTCAAAAAGTTCCTTTTAATTGTATACACTCTGTGTTTGCCACTTATAATGAATTTGAGGATGAAGTCTGTTATTTGAAAAATCGACCACAAAAATAAAAAATAATTTGTCTATATCACAGTAATGTGTTAAGTTTTCCAATGCTTAGTAAGGGAAATTATGTTTATCAACCTTGTCATATTGATAGTGGATTTAAAGTAAATGCCTGATAAGGAAGGAAGAATTGGAGTTTGAAAATACAGTTTTCTCGAAAAAAATCTAAGATTCAGGGGGACAATAATTCTGGAAATTAGTCTTGGCTAGAGTAATTTAACGCTTCTCAAAAATGTGATGATAATAAGAAACACATATATATTGAAGTTTGAAGTAGATCATTAGGAAATAAAGAAAGTTATTTAAAAAAGACAACATTTTTCCCCTAAAAAATCTAAGTTCAAGGGAGGTAATACTGATAATTTTTTTGCCTAGAGTTATAAACCTTGTACATATGATGTGGTTGATGACCAGAAACTTATATTTAAAGTTGAAGTAACACCTTAAGAAATAAAGAACATATAGTGAAAAGCTGAAAAATTTTAAATCAGAAATCTTGAAATTCAGGCTATTTGTTGCCATAAGCAACCAGAATTTTCACAATAGGAAGAAAGAAAAGATGTGCATAATTCAGACTGCCATCTACCCATATTTCAAGTTTCATAAAAATATTTTCAGTACTTTTTGAGTTATCACTGATCAGTTTTATGTGTTTGAATTTGCCATATTTTCAGACTATTTGTTGCCATAGCAACCAGAATTTTCAACATAGGAAGAGAAAAAAAAAGACGTGCATATTTCCCTTTCTTTCCCTCTATATATAATTTAAGTTTTCATAAAATTTTAGTATTTTTTCGTTATGCGGGGTCCAGTTTTTTCGGACGGGCGGGCGACGGATGACAGACAGAAAAAACAAAAGAAAACAAAACAGACGGAAACGGACAAGGGGAAAAACCCTAAAGCCCCCGTTAAAACCGGTAGGATATAAGGGTTTTTTGGAAAAATTTTGAAAAATTTAAATTTTTGAGAACAATTTATGAAAAAAAACCCATAAAAAAATTGTTTTTACGGATTTTAAAATAATTGACGTGGGACTTTTCAAAAGGCGTTATAAAAAGGATCCCTAAAAAAAAGGACTTCCCCACACCCTGCTCTCGACTTTGTACGTTCCCTTTTTGTTTTTTTTTATTGTATAAAATTAATTAAGTTTTGCGGGGCCCCTTTTTTTGCCAGACACTTGGGTGTGTGAGCTCATCAAATAAAAGGTATATTTGTCAATCCAAGCGCAACATACGGCTAAGTTTTTTTGATATATATATAAGAAATAAGCACGTGCTGGGATTGACAAATATACATTTTATTTGCATTTTAAAATGTGTTTTGAGCTCCTTACTCCTAGTGTATTTGCTTTATGGCTTTTAGTACAAATGAAAAGTTTGTTCTTCTTTCGACAAACATATATCACAATTTCATTAAATCTGACATTGAGACAAACAATATAAGCATTTGCAAATAGAGTTTACTATTATACAACATCGCGGCTTAATTGTTTTGCCTTTGTGTGTGTATTTGCGTTTATTTATACTCCCCACCGGTTGCCCATATGGGCGAGTGAGTTCTCCAGAAGAGTATTTTATAGTCATTTTAGATTTTGGAGGATAGTGCAATTGCAGATACAGAAAGACGCCCCGATTCCAGAAGCTTCTCCTGGTTCTTTAGCGTGCCAAGTGTTTAAGCTCCCATACACGGGACCTCGATTTAAAATCTCATCCGAGTATGTTTCGTAATTTTCGTTGGCTGCCCGCGAATCGAACCAAATGTCGATTACAAAAATCTGGAAACAAAGTGATACATCGGAATCATTAAACACAACAAAATTGCTTGAAAATTGCAGACTCGGTTTGATTGAGTCTGTACATGAGGAATAATGAATACGTGCAACATCTGGGCTGGCTTGTATTGCCTTTAAAAGCCAGGTCACATAGCTCAATCGGTTAGAGCGCGAGACTTGTAATCACGACGTTGCGGGTTTTGCCTTTTACAGGAGGGCTATTTATATATATAGGTCTCTTTCCCTCTGAAGAATTCTTCAAAGCATACTGTTTTGTTAATATTTTTCTCATAAAATTCAGTTCACATCAAGTTTCCCCCTCCTTTTACAAAAATACTATGCTATTTTTTATCAAAATTAAGGGAGGCCGAGCCCCTCCAATGTCTGTGAAAAAAAGTCCCGATTATGAATGCATGCATCATCATTATAGTTAGTATTGAGTGTTCAAAAGTACGGAAGAAAGATTGTTATAAACAACATTTTGTCTGAAAATTTGTGAAAAAATGTAGACACTTGTATTTTTTAAATGTGCAAATCAAATAATTCTTTTTCCCGCGTGTCATCAGACCCATTCCCAGTGGCAAATACATCACATGTACGTGTATATATGTACAGTTGACTCTCGATAACTCGAAATCCAAGGGACTGGGCATTTTACTTCGAGAGAAACGGAATTCGAGTAACGTGGATCTGCCGCCATTACGTTGACATTCGTACATGTATATACATGTACCTGATTGAATATGCAAAGAAGTAGGTTTGTTATTGTTGATAGCGGCAATGCTGCAATATTTAACCGTTGAAATGACTGTAAATCACTTACAAATACAAATTATAAATGAACAAAAATATATTATTCAAAATTTAATACATGTATATTAATAGTGAAATATAAACACAAGCATTCGTAGCAATGACATAAATGCAAGTTTGTCAGTATTCATCAGTAATGCACATGCTTTTAATACGCACTCATGATAATTCATTACAATAAAAGCACAATAACACATTAAATTCAACAACAATTTATCTAATGTTTGAAGTAAATTAATCATCGGACGAAAACCAAAGTAGCAACTATCGTGAACCGGAAGTAAATATTAATGTTTGCAATATGACGGAAAATTAATTATAAAAATGTCATTACGTTCAAAACACACATCAATACCTAGGCTGGCACAATTAAATCTTAATTTACTTATCTAACTGTTAAAACCAATTAAGTCCTGAAACCGATTAAAGCCACTTTCACGACGTGCTAATAATACATGATGACCGGCAATTAGAATTACTATGAAACGTGTGACTGTGAATCACGAGTGACAACATCTCAACTTGATGTCGCCGACCTTTGATCTGTCGGCTGTCTTCACACTTCGACTAATCGAGATGAAAATATGTTGGACTTCAATTGACGGGACCAAATTTTCTTTTCGACTAAATAGGAGTCTCGGTAAGTCAAAATTTGACCTAAGCGGAGTTAAAATACAAAGATAGAGAAGGAAATTTGACGGGACTTTAGAAATTCTTCGACTAACGCGGAATTTTGAGTAAAGCGATTTTGACTTATTGAGAGTCAACTGTATATTTTTTCACAATTTTTAAAAAATTCCAATCAAACTGAATTTCCCTTATCCAAACTGACAAATTTGCTGATCATTTCATTATGATACCTACCAGAATGTGTTTTCCCACATATTTCATAGTCAAATTTTAATGTATTTTTAGCTCGACTATTCGATAAGAATAAGTAGAGCTATTGCAGTCACCCGAGCGTCGGCGTCGGCGTCGGCGTAACCACTTATGTTAAAGTTTTTGTAATAGTTCAAATATTTTCAAAGTCCATTGACATATGGCTTTGAAACTTTGCACACTTGTTCACCATCATGACCCCAATCTGTAGACAGGAGGAGGTAACTCTATCAAGCATTTTGACAGAATTATGCCCCCTTTTCGACTTAGAATTTACGTTAAAGTTTTTGTAATAGTTCAAATATTTTCAAAGTCAATAGACATATGGCTTTGAAACTTTGCACACTTGTTCACCATCATGACCCCAACCTGTAGACAGGAGGAGGTAACTCTATCAAGCATTTTGACAGAATTATGCCCCTTTTTCGACTTAGAATTTATGTTAAAGTTTTTTTAATAGTTCAAATATTTTCAAAGTCCATTGACATATGGCTTTGAAACTTTGCACACTTGTTCACCATCATGACTCCAACCTGTAGACAGGAGGAGGTAACTCCATCAAGCATTTTGACAGAATTATGCCCCTTTTTCGACTTAGAATTTATGTTAAAGTTTTTGTAATAGTTCAAATATTTTCAAAGTCCATAGACATATGGCTTTGAAACTCTGCACACTTGTTCACCATCATGACCCCAACCTGTAGACAGGAGGAGATAACTCTATCAAGCATTTTGACAGAATTATGCCCCTTTTTCGACTTAGAATTTATATTAAAGTTTTTTTAATAGTTCAAATATTTTCAAAGTCCATGGACATATGGCTTTGAAACTTTGCACACTTGTTCAACATCATGACCCCAACCTGTAAACAGGAGGAGGTAACTCTATCAAGCATTTTGACAGAATTATGCCCCTTTTTTCGACTTAGAATTTATGTTAAAGTTTTTGTAATAGTTCAAATATTTTCAAAGTCCATTGACATATGGCTTTGAAACTCTGCACACTTATTCACCATCATGACCCCAATCTGTAAACAGGAGGAGGTTACTGTATCAAGCATTTTTTTTACTATCAAGCACTAAGAATAGTCGAGCGTTGCTGTCCTACCGACAGCTCTTGTTTAAGCTTTGAATGATACAAATGTACAGCATTTGCATTGAATTATAAATAATTAAAATGTATTTCGAAGTACTTAATAAAACTTTGTCTGTAGTATTGCAAAAGTTACATTTTTATGCATTGACAAAACATATCAACTGGCAGGAACTGTATAATTATTTGTATTTCGTATAGATACCTAGAATCCAAATTCCTTGTCGGGCCTCTCTTTCACTTATTTTGATGTGAAAGGAACGAATAGCTATGGTACTTACGATTGACCTTAAAATCTTAATTTGTAACCCCTTTAGTGATCAAAAGAGACTATGCCATCTATTTACAATGTGTTTATATTGTAAATTTATTTGTATGATATATTATTGCTATTTAAAGCGACAAATTTTAATGCACAGCAATGGCAAATAAGCGAGAAACTATCTTTACTATCGTTACAGATAATACATGTACCGGTTGAAAAAACAGGAAGTAAAGCATGATTACTAAATTACTGTTATTTATTTCATTTTTGGCTGTTGTCATTGCAATTTTATTAACAACCGGTGCATTTGAACATTTAACTGACTTGATACCCGTCTCGTTATTATTAAAATCGTCTTCATTAACATCAAATGAGAAGCTTTTTACAAAAGAGGAGTTATCAAAGTTTACTGGCCAGGAATCGCCGTACGTATACCTAGCAATACTCGGTGATGTATTTGACGTTTCTAAAGGTAAAAGACATTATGGAGAAGGCGGAGGATATCACTTCTTCACAGGTAATTGATTGAATGTGTTAAGTTTTGGATTATAAATTGTTCATTAATCTGAACTACATATTAAAATGTAAGCATTATACATGTAGTTTCAAAAGATTAATGCAGTAGGCCCCTTTATCAAATCATGTTTTCCTCCCAATAGTTTTACTGTTGTAAATAGTTTAATACATAATTAAAGTTTTTTATTACATGTTTTGCAGTAGATTACTGAATTATAACGGTTAATTATATTCTGATAATTTCACAGTAATGATTACCAAATATAATTTCACAGTAGCCGAACTATATTTGGCGTAAAAATAAAATATTTATCATTAATGAATGTTTTTTCAGCGGAAATGTAGTCAATCATAATAAAAAATGTACGTGATAACTGTAGTTCGTAAATATTTACGAACGTTGTGCTGAAAAACATCTAAAATCTAAAAATAATCATGGAATTATATTTTGCTTCAACATTGTGACGTCATTATTTGATGACGTCATGAAGATAAGAGCATGACGTTACGCGGCAAAAATCAGTAAAATGGTGTAAAAATCGTTAAAAAATCATGAAATAAACAGAAAATTTGTTTGTTTTACATGTAAGATCAAATAATATTTCACTCGTGAACCCCAGCTATTATATTTTCACTCGTGGCTACGCCACTCGTGGAAAATATTGCATCTGGTGTTCACTCGGTGAAATATTTTTCGATCTTACACTGAAACAAACAAATATCCTCTATATATTTTTGTATGTAACATGATTTTAAGTATATAAAATACTTGCATTTTATAGTTTCAAAATATTTTGCCAAAAGTGAAGGTAAAAGTATATATATTTTTTTTAATTAACAAACTTCTTAATTTTAGGTAAAGATGGTACAAGGGCATATGTGTCTGGAGATTTTACAGAGAAAGGACTTATAGAAGATACAGAGGGTCTGTCACTTACTGATTATCTAGGAATAGAGGAATGGAATGAATTTTACAGAAAACAGTATAAACATATAGGTAGATCTAAATATAAAGTTATTTGTCATTTGAACAAGAACCTGAGGGCTATAGATATAAACTTATACAGGTTTCATTATAGATAACATTATTTTGAATATTAAGGTAGACCATGGGTAATGCATTACCTCCTTTTTATAGGCTAGAATCGCTTTCAAACTACATTGACATTGAGGGGCGTGGGTTCAAACCCCAGAAGGGGCAACTTTTTTTTCTTTCTTTTTTTTTCTTTTTAACATTATTTATGTATCTCTCTGATCCCTTATGGAAGAAAAAAAGGATTTGATTTAAATTATATAATTATTGTAGGTATTTAATTGCTAAATAATGGCAAAATTTATACCAAATGTGATACCAGATATTTTCAAAATTTAATAAAATAAAAACTACACGGTAAAAGTATTTTATAGTTTGCATGATCAACCAATATACCTTAAAGAAAAATTAGGCAAACTTTGAAAACAGCCCCTCATTATGGTAAAATTTAGGGATATTTTGAATAAATCATTTTAGATAGGGAAATGGTAAAATTAGTGTTTAAGTGGGTGGGGTAGGGTAACATTTTTATACATATTAAGAACATTTTGTTTAGAAACAAACATTTTGCTCGTGTAATTTGTTACCTGAATGTTATTATTTGTTTCTTATCAATGGGCGATAAAAAACATTTTTAATAATGATGATATTACAGATTATTTAGAGTTTCCTCATTTCTGAAAATAAGCCCTTCTAATGGCAAAGTCTTAGTTCAGAAATATATCCATAACTCATAAACCACACGGTAAATTTTATTTAAATTTTGCATACAGGTGACCTTGAAGACATATAACTGTCCTATGTTGTCAATTTTACAGTTCCTTTTGGTTCCCATTACCCATGGTCTACCTTAATTAGATCTAATAAGTATTTGTAAGAAGTATGAGAATTATTATATATTTTCAGTTTATTATTTCCCTTCTATTCCTTCTAATCTATGAGTATTTTTGTTTAACCAAAGAAGAGCCCCCCCCCCCCCCCCAAACACTGTATATAGGAAATGTGTTCATAAATCAGTTATTAATACACTTGTTACTATATATAGTAACAAAATTGCCTATGATTTCAACTGATTATGAGTGTCACGTGACCTATTATGAGTTTGCGGCCCGGGGCCGAGAACTAGTTATCAGCCCGCAGAACATGTGCGCGTGCACAAACTGAAACAATGACGTCATATTTTACGTCATCAAACAGTTAATTGTAAAATTGAAAGTAGGTTGTCAGCACGAATCATTTTTATTTCTGTTATGAGAGCTTAAGTGTATTTAGTACAAACACAATTTTGTTACTATTGAAATTT